CCAGCAAGCACACATACTCTATAGCAAAAGTCTAAAAAAAGGAAAAGAAAAGACTTCCCTGGCTTAGAAACTGGCCATGAGAAAAGCAACTTACCAAACAGTATGTGCCAGATAATCCCATTTTTGTAAGGAAAACACAATACATAAATCCATGTGGGTAAAAAGTCATCTGAAAGGACATCCACACCAAAGAAGCTGCTTTTAGACTAGGACACGTTCTGTCAACGTTGGCGCCTCCATCTTTCCCAAGTTTTCTACAGTAAACGCGCCAAACTCGGGGTGGTAATGCTCGCCGACACTCTGGAACGTTCCTACACGGCTGGCATGCTACACGCTATCTAGTTTAAACTACCGACGACCCAGCGAGGCTGTCACTGCGTTTCTCCACCTTACAGTGAGGACACGGGCTCAGTGAGACTGGGTTACCCAAGGGCGATGAACTCATCCGGTGCACAGTCAAGATCTGAACCCAGTTTGCCTGACTCCAGAGCTCACGTGTGTGAATGAATGGAGGGCTGGCTTCGCTGCAGTCTAGCCGGGCATGCCCAGAGTAAGACCACACCCTTGGCATGGACGCGCTTCCAGGAAGGGTATGGCCGGCCTGCCTCCATCGTTGGTCATGGCTCTGGCTGGGACCGAGCTTAGCTGGGTTTGACTCAGGCCGGGAGGGTGTGGCCGGTACGCTCAGTCTTGTTTTTACAGGAAAGGTCTAATCCGGTGTGAAAGCTGGGGCCTCTCTGAGTTGATTCGCCACCCCTGGAGGAGGCTGGGCCGCTGCTGTCAGGCACCCTCGCACCTCCATTTCAGTACCCCAGGTCGCCGGGCGTGGAGTGACCCCGTGAGGAAAGCCTGCAGGTCACCTTACAGGACTCATATGAAAACTGAGGCTGGGTGGCTTAGTAACCTGGGGGGAGGATCACACGGCAGTTAACAGCACACGCCATCGTGTCCCGTGGGTCCCAGCCCAGCCATGGAGTAGCTGTGTAACTTGGAGCACTTGCATCACCTCTCTGAGCGGTCTCCCCAAGCAGGGATAATAATGCCTGTCTTCACAAGCTCAAGGGGAAGATGAGATGAAATAAGGATGCACAATGCGTAGCCCCTGGGCTCGGCCTTCCAGAGATAGTAGCTGTTAGCTGTGCAGGGAGTATTTATTTACCACCTACTGTGGACTGAGCACCTGGTGCTGAGGAGAGGACAGGGGCCATAGCAGTCCGAATTCCCTGTCCCCGCATTGTCGTAGGGGAAGACAGACGATAAATGAGTGCACGCGTCAAAGTGCCCCCTATCTCAGGCCGCAGTGCTGCGAAGAAAACCGAAAAGGGCAGAGCGCAAGTGATGCTTGCCCAAGGAGAGAGAAGGCGTTGGAGAGGAGGGCAAAGCAGTTGATGCTGCCCTTTCAAAACTTATTTTAGCTTTTTGCCATAGAGTGCATGCACTCACAGGAGAATCACAGACAGCGGAAGTGAGAAATACCCCTCAGGAGGGATGGCCACGTGGCAGTCCCTTCTCCTCCATTCTCCTCCTGGGATTTAGAGCAGACACGCACACAGGCCCGGTGTGATTTTCAAGCTGCCGGGTCCAGGACTCAAACTCCAGTGGGTCATGTGGGAGTCCAGCGCCTTGACCACTACACCACCTGCTGGCCCCAAAGCTGCCCTTTAAAAGGGGCAGTTGAAGCCCGGAGGCACAGTGGTGAATGTAGGCTCTGAGAGGCTGGTCTACATGAGAAGGGTCCCGGTTTGCATCCAGAGACCTCCCTCAGGGTGCTGGGCTCATGCGCGCCCTTGATCTGAACCAGCTAAGGCCGGGGTGGGTCATGTACAGAAGCCCTTTGGGGGGCACTCTCTCTCTGTGTCTCTCTCTTCTCACTCTCCTGTCTCAGTCATGGAAGAAATAAAGGAACACACCTTAGAAATAAGCAACTCAGTAGACCCGTCAGGGCGAACTTCCCCGAGGAGGCTGGGGTAAGGTCTGAGGCGGCGTGGGTGGAGAAGGCAGTATCTGCTTAGAGGGGTGTCGGCCGGCGAGAACAGCAGGTGCACAGAGGCTCTATTCCTCACACGGTATTAGGAAGACGTTCAGGTGTCTACGAGAAAGGCCTTGTGTGGCCAGAAGCCATCCACCTCCCGCTAGATGCAACAATTAGCGCGTTACCCTGTTTGCTTTTTGACATGGCCGCCTTAGATCCCCTCCGCTTTTTGTTCCCGGTGAACTGCCTTGAAGATTTGGAGAGAGAATGCCTGGAACTGCTGTCAGAAGACAGGAGCCTTTTGCAGGAGTCAGGAGCAAAGCAAGACTCCACTTCTGACAAGTCTGTCGGGAGAGGTCACCGCAGGACACGCGCCCCGCTGTCTAACAAGGAGCTTGGCCCTCACGTCAAGCAGTCGGTCCCTGCCGATTCTTTGCTGGGATAGGATCGGGGGGGGGCAAGGGATTTGGGGGCCAGCTCCCACCCCGGCTGAGATTACCAGCTGGGCAGCCCGACCACCAGTGGGTTCCAGGCACAGAGGTTGGCGGCGCTTGCAAGTTTTCAGGGCTTGTCGGCTGACACCCAGCGTTCCTGGCCAGTGGGTGCTGTTGGCTGCCTGGTTTACAGAGCCATGAGCACTGTCTCCGGGCCAGGGGGTCCCATTCCTCTAGCCCTGCACGGGGGAGTTCCTCCTAGGAAAACCCGGTCTGTAAGCTGCACTGGCAGCCAGAGGAGCCCGAAATCAGAGTGAGGGCGACCCTGAGGGAAGTGGGGCTCTCCTAGCCCTGGGGCTCAGGGCACCCTCTCTAGTGTTCCCCAGGCAGAGCAAAGGGCTTAGAATCCCACAGTCCTAGACTTTGGGATGGGGGAAGACTTGGAAGTAATCTGGGCTGGGGTTCGGTCAGCACTCAGGTGCGGAGGTGAGGCCGCCTGGGTTTAAATCTCGGCTCTACTGCTTTCCAGCCCTGTAACCGGAGACAAGGCACTTTCCCTGTCTGCCTCAGTTTCCTCCTTCGTAACGGAGGGCAGACAGGACCGCCCTCAGAGTCGCCGAGTTCGCAGCTGGGCACTGCTGAGCACTGCCTCCGTGTGAGCGCTTCGTGAGCGTCGGCCCCGCAGTGTATCGAGCGAAATCACCGGTGTTCCAGGGCTCCGTTGCCAGTCGTTTTCTGCTCACGCCGACTTCATTGTTATTATTATTTCATAGAACGGGGACATACCCGTCACGCTGGTCCATAACTCACCCCCGCCCCCAGCCAAAAAGCACTGTGCCACTTTTGAGAGATCTTCCAAGTGCTTTCTGGCTCTTTTCACATGTGTTCAGAACCATTATGGTGGCAACTTGCATGTCACGTAGTTTACGTAATCAACCCCCTGCTAGAAATGACTGAGTCCGGGGCCGGTGGTTAAGGGCGCTGGACTCCCACGCGGCCAACTGTGGTTCGAGTCCTGGACCTGGCAGCTTGCTGTCTCACTTTCTCTGTTTCTCTCTCTCTTGCTCACTCTATCCCTCTCTGGTCCAATTAAAATAAAGAAATAAAGTGAAATAAAATACGTCTTTTTAAAAAAAGAAAGAAAAAGGAATGACCGATGCCACCTGACTGCACGTCCTCAGAGGTGACTTCTCTGGGTCTTGGTTTCTTCATCTAAAAACAGCATGACAAGACTCTGCTGGGTATTCGGAGGCATCTGTGACATTGCTCGGCCCTGCTCGCATTCCTGTGAGGACAGGACCCTCACTACCTCGTAGGCAACCTTTCATTAGGTAGCTAGTGGTCCATAAAGGGCCGCTGCCCTCCGCTAGGACCTGCCTCGCGGGAGCTCCAGGCCCAGCTTTCTTCACTGGGGCCCCACACATTCAGCCTGTGCTCGCTGGTCGGCGGCCTGGGCCAGGGTAGAAGGCAAGAGCTTTCATTTCCTTCCTTCCTTGTCCCCCTCCTCGCCCTCTCTTCCCCCGTTCCTTCCTTCCTCTATTGCTCACGTGCCAGATCTGCTGGGCACTCTGACGGGGGGGCCGTAGAGAACGTCAGCTGCGGGTCACAACTAGACCCTAGGACCCCCCCCCCCCCACTCCCATGCCTGGCGACTGTCCACCACTGTGGGGCGAGGACGCTGAGGCTGACGGCCCTGCTCTGGTGCACCAGGATGCTCCTGCCGCAGGCAAAGTCCTGGGCTGCTCTGTGAGAGCTGACCAGAGATGGGGGACCTTCAGCCTAGGCCTGGAGCAGGACCCCTCCAGGTTTTCACTGGAGCCAAACCCAACCCTTTCAAAGCAGAAACACGTAGGTTTAAACGTAAATCCAGGTAAGGTCATTCAGCTGCGGGACTCAGGAGGGCGTCTGTGGCTGTCCTGTGTCCTCCCTGGGCTTGGCGTTCTTGGCTCTCATCTCTCATTTATCCCGTTCAGTATACCCTTTCTGGAGAGCTCTCCGTCATGTGGCAGTGTTCTTTCTGTTTTGTTTTGTTTTCGCTTTTGCTATCGAGCAGCTGCAGTAGCCAGAGAGAGAGAGAGAGACAGCACCCTTAGGGCTGGCTACCCACAAATCCTTCTGCATTCTCTTCATGGGATTTGGGGCACACACGCCCACACCTAGTGTGATTTTCAAGCTGCCGGGTCCAGGACTCTAATCACAAAGCTGGCTATGTGGGATTTAGGGCCTTCGCCTCCAATGCCACCGGCTGGCCTATAGTGTGGTGGTCTTAAAGAGAAGTTTTGCCAACCCCAAATCCCCTCTGAGCCTCAGTTTCCCCATTTGTAAAACAGGAGTATCGACTCGTTCCCTGCCTGTCTAACAAGGACGAGGTAGGGAGGACACGCGATGGTGAGTGAAGGATTACGGTGTGGGCAGAACAGGGAGAGTGCCGCCTTAGCCGGAGCACAGGCGGGCCGAGAGCAGCACCGCGGCAATACCTTCTGACAATGCATGCTGAGCCGTGCGTCCTGCCTCCCGTGGAGTCCCTCCGCTCCACATGAACCCGTGGCCAGGCCAGGGCCAGCCCTGCAGCCCAAGATAAGACCTGTGGCGCTGTGTCTGCTATCACGCTCTCAGAGGGTGTGGGGAGGGGGGGCTGGTGCCTGGTGCTGGCGGAGCCTCGGCACAAACACAACCCGGAATGGGCTCCAAGTACCCGCGGTCTGTCCGGGGCTGCCTGCCCCTGTGGGTCCTAACTGTCGAGACTGCCTTCATTCTCCTGTTCTTCTTTTTCACCTCCTATGATGACACGTCAACGGATCAGGAGACGCTCATGGGGACTTATCGAGGTGAGGGCCCGCCGGCGAAGTAGTCACAGAGGCAAGAGACAGGGCCAGGGGAGGTTTGTGTTTCTCCCAGGGCATGGTGTTTGCGTCCACAACATCCTCCAGAAGTTCTTCTTCCATAGATGTAGGCTTCCTCCATGAAGCCTGCCTTGATTGATCAGTGCAGACGGAGGGGCCTCCGTGTAGGTCCTATTACCATCTCCCCGAATTCTCTGTGCCCAACAGTCTTCATAATCCTCTGCTTGTCTAGCTCTGCCCCCCCCCACCCCCTTTCTCTTTTGTGACAAGGGATATCATGTTATGTGGTTTTTGGTGGTTCTGGCTTTTTCTGGTCTCTCTTGCTCATTTCGGTACCACCCTCCTTTTGGAAGCGTCAGCCTGTAGCCCCCATCCCTGGCGCCCAGCCTTCTCACTCGGAGCTGGAAAGTCTGCCTTCTGTCTGCAAACTCAGGGCCAGGGGGGATGGCGGAAGGCGCGGGCAGGAGGGTGGTGATTTGATATGCAGCTAAGAATACTCGCAGGTGTGATGAGCACTACTAACGGGCGGATGTCCGCAGTGGCGTGATGGGGTGGGAGGAAAAGCCGCTGCGGTGGACATTCTGCGGCCCCAGTTACTTGCGGGGCTGAGACAGGAGAATAAAGTCAGTAAGACCCTGTCCAGAACAGACACGCACGCACACGAGACAGGTCTGAGCGTCTCAGTGGACGTGCTGTTGCTGATGACGATTGGACCTCCTTGACGGATGGACTCCGCGAGCCACTCTCCGGGCGCAAAACTGCAGCTCGAGCCCGGGTGAACTGCTTGCTTGTTCCCAAATTACTAGTTAACTGGCTGGCTGACTAGAAGTCAAGCGAAGGCATCCCGGACCCCGTGGCAGTGCAAGCAGGACAGAGAGGACTCGGGGGAGACCTTCACCCCCTGATGGGCTGGTCCACAGAGGGCCCTCAGCACCAGACAGCAAGGCCCGCTTACTGGGGCTCTTCCCCCCATCCAGGGACCCAGCCCGGTGCACTCATGGCTCAGCCGTGGCTCACATCAGTGTGGGACCCAGGAGCGCGGCGACTACGGCCGATGTTTATTGGGCACGTACTGTGTACGAGTCCTCTTCTCTTTTTTCTAAAAAAGGTGTTGTCTTTTTGTTTGTTTGTTTTTTCCCTGGCTTCTGTGCACGCTGGAGAGGGACAGAGAGAGACACTGAGAGGCAAAGTGAGAAATCACCCCGGGGCCATGGCCACGCTGCAGTCCCTTCTTCTCCGTTCTCCTCCGGGGATTTGGGGTACAGATGCACATGCGCCTGGCATAATTCCTGAGCCACTGCATCCGGGACTCAAACCCTGTTGGCCATGTGGGAGTCCCGCACCATAACCACTAGCCACCGGCAGGCCCCACATCCCCTCCTGAATGCTTTATGTGGACTCCACACTGCAGCCCTGGGAGGAAACTAGGCAGGGTGCGGAACGGTGCCCAAGTCGCGAGGCCACAGCGGCACGGCCCCGTTGTGTGGTGGTGCTGAATCATTTGTCATAAACCAGCAGGTTGGAGCCACCACTCCAATCCTGTAGGGTGGCTCTGAGCTCCGGTTCCTCGCCCCAACCCCTGGACTAACTGAGGTATGAAGCGTCCTTGGACACTCAGGAGGGTGACTGTCCAGCAGGTCTCAAGGCTCAGTAGGGGTGAGAAAGGAGGGTCACCTGGAATGACAGCAGCCACCGTGTGTGTCCTGCGCAGGCAGGGCTGGGGTGTGACATCGCAGTGTTACTGGGGCAGAAAGAGGGAAGCCGGGTGTGTGGCCCACGGGTTGAGTGTGGAGTCTGGCCTTTCTGCTGACCTAGTAGGAAGCAGGCGGTGGCGAGTTTGGGCCGGGTTGTGGAGAAAGTCACTCCAGGGCAGGTGCAGCAGAAGGGGAGGCCATACCCGGGGCGTGGGGCCACTGTGGGGGCCACAGTGCAGTGCCGACACGAGGACTTCTGACTGTTCTAATTGTGTGGCCCACTCTTTTTAAAGAATTATTTCATTTTATTTATTATTATTATTTTAAATTTTACCATAGGGCATGTGCGCTCACCAGAAAGATCAGAGAGAGAGAGCGAGGAAAAGTGAGAAAGCAAGTGAGTCCCAGGTCCAGGACTCGAGCCTTAGTCAGCCATGTGGGAGTCCGGCACCTTAACCACCATGCCACCTGCTAGCCCTCCAATTTTTTTTTTTCCTGTAGGAGCTGTTTAAGCCGTTAGTCCATTTTGTGAAGTTAGTAGAGTTAAACCTAGGTAACAATCTGTCAATCCACTTAATCTAATCTGGTCTGTGTAAACTACAATAAATTATTCAGGTCTGTCGATTTTAAAAGGAGATTTTTGGGCCAATCCAGAAATTTGAATATATTATGGATATTATATGGCATATATAATAGTATTATTATTAATTTTGTTAGGTGTAATAAAAACATTTTTTTAAAAAGACACTATCCTACCTGGTTGATCCTGACAATAATAAACAAATTTTAAAAAATAAGACACCATCTTTTAGAGATGATTGAAACAGCATGTTGTCTGGGCCAGCAGGTGGTATGGTGGTTAAGGTGGCTGGACTCCCTCATGGCTGACCGTGCTTCGAGTCCTGGACCTGGCAGCTTGCTTTCTCACTTTCCTTCTCTCTCTGTCTCTCTCTGGTCAACTTCAAAAAAATAAATAAAATAATGAAAATGAATAAAATTAAATAAGTGGAAAAAAAGAAACAGCATACTGTCTAGGGGTTGCTTTTTGCTAGAAAGGTGGTGGAGGACAATGCAAACTGGTTCCATGTGTCAATCAATGTTCGGAGATGGACCATGGGCCTCCATGCTAATTTTTTTTTTTTTTGCTTTTGTATATGCTTAAAATTTTCCACAACAGCTCATTTTTTTTAAAGAAGTTGCAACATGGGGCCAACAGGTGGTGTGGTGGTTAACGGCTCTGGACTCCTCCATGGCAGACCACAGTTCAAGTCCCAGATCTGCCGACTTACTTTCTCACTTTCCCTCTCTCTTCTTTTCTCTTTCTCTCTCACTCTGTCCCTCTAAGGTCAGATTAAAAATAAATACATAAATAAATAAATAAAGTCAAATAAAATAACTCCTTAAAAGAAGAAGAAGTTGTAACATGACGAGTATGAAGAAACGAGGAGTAAGCCCCCAGGCCAGTACTCCCTCGGGATGCCTCCCACAGCTAGGGCACCAGGCTGTTTGACCTGAGCAAGTGATGGGAGGCCTCTGGGTCCATCTGCGTACTGAACATTTGCAGAGTTGTAGGCCTCTCCAGGCAGCTTTAGAGACAGAATAGCCCAGGTCAATGGTTCTAATGGTCCCCAAATCAGGTGCCTCAACTTCCCTAGAAACTTACTCGAATGCAGACTCTCAGGTCAGCCAGCAGCCTGGTGATGAAGTGGTTAAATCTCACAGGGCTGAATGTGTGGTTTGAATCCCGGACCTGGAGGCTTGAAAATATCCCAGGCAAGTGTGCACGTAGACCCAGAATCCCGAGGATGGTGGAGAAAGGGTTGTGGTGTGGGCATCCCACCTGAGGGTGCTTTCTCACCTCCTCTCTCTCTCTATCTCTCTGTCTCTCTCTGGTGAGCACATGCACCCTCTAGCAAGATTTTTTTTAAGAGAGAAGAAAGAAATGCAGATTCTCAGGCCCTAGTCAAAATCTATTGATTAAAAGCTCTAGGAATGGGGCCTGGCAGTCTGTTTTTGTTTTGTTTTGTGTTTGTTTATTGAGAGGGGGCAGTGTAGGGGACACTGACAGTTCTTGCCATGCGGGACCGTCCGCCCCCATCCCCCCTGCCCCGTCCCCCGGGTTCTGGGATTACAGACACACAGCACCATCCCCTGTTTAGGGTGCTCAGACTCGACTCCAGGCCTTCCACGTGGCCCCAGTCTCACGGGCTGGACTCTCACTTGAACCTCCGCGACTGGGCCAGTCTCGGGTTCCACGAGCTCGCCAGGTGATTCTGATGCATGTGGAAGTGGGAGAATCTCTGGAGCTAGATCGACTCCAGCCTTGCCTCCGCATCTTAGGTGCGCCACTTCAGGCAAATTACTCACCCTCCTGGCTCGTTTCAACCCTAATTATTTGGTGATAGTGCTTATTTTATCAAGTTGTCGAAATAATGAAATAATTAACACATATGAAAACTGGTAAAGAATGCTTGTATTTATTAATAAGCTTTAATTTCTTATTTATTGGATAAATAAACTTAGAAGTGCTAACGGCTTCTTTCAGCAGTTCCCGGGGATGGTCCCGGGCCTCCTCTGAGCTGTGTGCTCCCTGCCTGCTGATCACTGGTCTGGATGACACGTGACGTGGCAACGGGCTGGAGTAGCAGAGGGAAAGCAAGGCGTCTGAGTCAAGAGGCATTTAGGAACTAAATCAGTTGCACTTGGCAAAAAACAAGAGGAGGGGACCAGCAGTTAGCGTAATGGCTGGGTCGCTGGACTCCCATGTAGTCAACAGCAGTTTGAGTCCCAGACCCGGTGGCTTAAATTCATGCCGGGCGCGTGTGCGTGCGTGCCCAAGATCCCAAGAGGAGAATAGAGGAGAAGGGATTGCAGTGTGGCCACCCCCCCGGGGGGGGTGATTTCTCACTTTATGTCTCTCTCTTTCTGGTGAGCGCACGCACCCTATAGCAACAACCTCTCAAACCCCTCCCCCCCCAAAAGAAGAAGGAGTCAAGGTCAAGGGTGGTTCTGGACATGTGATTTGCCATTTGGTGCTGCCATTTCTGGAGACAAGAAGCACAAGGGACAGGCCCTGGGGTGCATGAACAATGAATGTATTCTGGGCTGAGTTGAGGGGCTTGTGAGATTTTTTTTTTAAGAGTTATTTATTTTATTTTATTTATTATTGTTATTTGTATTTGACCAGAGAGAGAGAGGGAAAGTGAGAAAGCAAGCCACCAGATTCCAGGAGTTGAACCACACTCAGCCATATGGAAGTCCAGCGTCTCCACCTGCCAGCTCCAATATATATCAATATATCAGTTGGTCAATATATCAGTTGGTCAATGCATCAGCAAATGTGTTCATTATCTACAACTGCACACCAACCACCCTTAGTTGATCAATGTATCAGCAAATGTATTCATTATCTACAACTGCACACCAACCACCCCCACACATAGGGCTTAAAATAGTAGTCATTTAATTTACTCACGATCAAGATTCTGAGGGCAGTGACTGGGCTGGGCTCTGCTGGACAGTCCTGTTGATTTCCTGCCGCCACTCACTCACCTGCAGCCTGGAGTTTTGACTGGGGCGGATGGCTCCGATGGCCTTATTGACACATCTGGCAGCTGGCGCTGGCTGGCAGGCCACGTGGTTCCAGCAAGCTCGTGTGGACTTTCTCACAGGACAGCAGGAGAGTTTCCCAGCGAGAGAAGGCAAGGCCCAGTGTGGAGGTACCTCTCCAACCTCTGCTTGAATTGTTTACTAACATCCTTCTCAAAGCAGATCATAAGGCCAAGCCCACATGGGATAGGTCTATACCGAGATGCAGGATTCCTTTGGGGGCCATTACTCTAACAGTCTATCACACAGAGCCTGCCGTCCGGCTGGAAATTGGGGCTCTCCTGAACCCTGTGCTGTGGCTGCCACCCCGTAGTCCTGTACTGCTCTGAGGCTGTGAGAAGAGCTATGGGGACACGGGTGGGTTTTCCCAGTGACGTGCCTCAAACCCTGGCACCTTTCACATCGTGGCCTCGGGCTGTCCCTTTGGGAACTCTCTTGTTCTCTTCCTAGGCTCCTGTAGGGGTGAGGCCAGGCCCACCTTCTGCCTCCCAGTGGGCAGCCGAGCACGGAGCCTGGAGGCAGAAGGTGGGCCTGGCGCCAGAGCCGTGTGCTGAAGCACAGAGGTGGCAGCTGCCCAAGGGGTGGCTTCAGAGGGCACATCCAATTTCTAAAGGAACTCTGTGGGACAAACAGGCCTGACGCTCGCTGTACCGGCGAGGTAACTTCCAGGATGAGCAGAGCCCGTGCTCACAGCAATCCCTGAGCAGGACCCTTGCTTTCTGCCCCCATTAGAGACTAGGAGGCTGGGACTCCGAGGTGGAGCGGACTCTGAACCCCGGCAGCCAACCTCGGTGGCCTGCACTCCTCAGAATTATACTGCATATTCTGTGTGGGCGGGTCGGAGCCACACCCAAAAGGTTGGGGGATGGAGTCCTCCTGCTGCTGCTGACTAGCTAGGAGGCCCAGTTTTAGCGGCTCTCCCCCGTTCCCCGCCTGTGAGACGGAGATAGTCAGCTGTAGCCACTGCCAGGCGTGGTGGGGTTATTCTGAAGGCTCAGAAGTGCCGGTCCCTGCAGGGTCCCTGCATGTGCGTGTACGCGCCAGCTGTTACGGTGACGGTCCTTACGCCACCTCTGTCACTGCTGGACTCCCAGGTTCCGATTCCATCCCCAAGCCACAGGACTTTCATACACCCTCCCCGAGGCTGGCCGTAGACTGCAAAATTCCCCTCTGGCCCTGCCAGTGGGGGCCCTGTAGCTCACCTACTTCTTATCGCCCCTCAACACCTTGGGGCCATCAGCCTATCGGACTGGCAGCTGTGTGGGTGCAGGGCAGGCGCTGAGAGGTGAAGGCGACACCAGTGGGGAGGCCCCGCCCTGGCAGCCCTGAAGGGGGGCCCACATAGTGAGATGTGACAGGAGTTGGTACAGGCCCAGAGCCCCAGGAGGGCTGGGGCCAATTTGGGGTGCATGGGCTCTGTCATTTTGCCACCTGGGCTGATGCAATGTCCCTCAAGCCACAGCAAGCAGCATCGGGGGCAGAAGGCCTGGAGCCCGTACACCCGCGATCGGGAGTGGAATCTGCCTGACTTGCTGGTGCGCGGACCTCACCTCTGTCTGTCCTCTCCCCACCCTCCACTCACCTTCTCCTGACCTCCCCGAGCTGCCGGGGCCTGAAAGAACCTTGGGTCTAACTCCCATGTGTTACAGGCAGAAAAACTGAAGCCCAGGGAAGGCCAGGGACTTGCCTAAGGCCCCTTAGCGAGGCAAGGGGAAGGAAGAGCTAGAGACGGCCTCGTCTGGAGGAAGCACACAGGACCAGAAGCTCGGAGTTGGGCTCTGTTGCTGGTGTGCTGTGTGGCCTCAGGAAGTCACAGACTTCTCTGGTCCCCTATAAAATGGGAGGAGGATGGAAAACTCTCTCTACTAATGGATTCCTCAATAAATCTGGACCCTGTACAAATCGTGCTGCTCAGCTGTGCACTGTCTACCGGCAGTGTTTAATAAAAGGTCAAACTCAAATACATACATATTTCGTTTTTGCTATAGGGCACATGTGCTCCCGAGGAGACAGAGAAAGAGAAAGAGAGAGGGAAAGAAGAAGTCACCCCCAGGGGATGACCACAAGTAATTCCTTCTCCTCTCCTTTTGGGCACGCACACATGCCTGGCATATTTTCCAAGTTGCCAGGTCCGGGACTCGAACCACACACTCAGCCGTGTGGGATCCAGCCGCCTTAACCACCACACACCTGACCGGCCCCACCGAAACCTGGCTCTGCCAGCTGGGCGAGTTACTTAACTCCTCTTTGTCTTGGTGTTCCTATCTGTAAAAGTGGTGCTAACGACAGCAATGACCCCCACCCCCAGGAGTGGAGTTGAGACCCAGCAAGACAGGGTACGTGAAGTGGTTGAAAGGTGTGAGTGCAGGGGACACCTAATAAATGTCGGCTGGTCTGGAGTTCAGAGAGGTTAATTAAATAACTGTACCACGGCCACACAGCTAGAAAACGCCAGAGCCTCAGACCAGCCAGTGGCATGGTGGTTAAGGCGGCTGGATCCCACAGACGTACTGCACAGTTCAAGTCCCTGCCCAGTGGTGTTTTGTTTTGTTTTGGTTTTGGAGAATTTTTTTTTTCTTGCTATAGGGCATGTGCACTCATCAAAAAGATAGAAAGAGACAGAGAGACAGAAAGTGAGAAATCACCCCCAGGGGGGATGGTCATGCCACAATCCCTTCTCCTCCATTCTCCTCTCGGGATCTTGGGCACGTACGCACATGTGCCCAGTGTGAGTTTAAGCCACCGGGTCTGAGACTCGAAATGTGGTCGACTATATGAGAGTCCAGCGACATAGCCATTATGCCAACTGCTGGTTCCTCTGCCCAGTGGTTTAGAAAACATTTTGGGCATGTATGCATATGTGCCCAAAGAAGAAATGGAGGAGAAGAGATTACAGTGTGGCCAGTCCCCATAGGGGGTGATTTCTCACTTTGCTTCTCTCTCTCTCTCTCTGATGAGCAAACACGCCCTCTAGCAAATTAAAAAAAAAAAAAAAGAAAGAAAGAAAGAAAAGAAAAGAAAAGAACATGCCAGAGCCTCGTGTGAACCCAATCTGGACTAGTTCTGGAGCCCGAGCTGCTAACTAGTTCTCAGGCCTGGAATTAACCCATGTGCTCCCTTTGCCCTGGGCTGGAGCACTCCCTGCTGTCAGGTCTGTCTCTTCCACTGACCTGCCCCAGCAGCCCCTGCTCAGAGTCAGGCCAGCAAAGGTGAGGGTCACCCAGCCTAGGAGCTGGGAGAAAGCCGTTTTCCATGCAGACAAGGTGGCTCTGGCCTGCAGGAACACCGAGCCTGCCTCTGCCCGCTCTGTGTGGCCTGGGCCAAGTCATTCAGCTTCTGTGTCCCTATTTTCTCCTGTGCATGCCCAGGGGTTGAACCTGATCCCCTGAGTGTAAGCAATTACCCTTACCGAGCGTCAGCTGTGTGCCAAGAGCAGACACCCGCGTCCGCATGACTCTGCTCAATAATGATAGCAACTGCTGCACTTCCAGCCTCTTGGTCGGGCCCGCCTTGAGAGCTCAGACGGCTTTAGACCACCTGACCCTTCCCTCAACCCTGCACCCTAGGAATGTCTTCTCCTGTCATCCAGACGAGAGCACTGAGGCTTGGTGAGACAGAGCACCTTGTCCGAGTGCTCTTTTTTTGTTTTAGGTTTTGCCATAGTGTGTGTGTGTGTGTGTGTGTGTGTGTGTGTGTGTGCTCCCAGGAGAGAGACACCGAGAAGGAGAGAGACACAGACAGAAAGAGGGAAAGTGAGAAATCACCCCTCAGGGGGATGCCATGCCACAATTCCTTCTCCATCCTCCTCCTGGGATTTTGGGCATGCGTGCACATACAACCGGTCTGATTTTTAAGCCACCAGGTCTGGGACTGGAACTGCAGCCAGCTACGTGGGAGTTCAGTGCCTCAACCCCCTCACGACCTGCTGGCCCCGTCCAAGCACTCTGGAACGGCCTCAGATGTTCCTTGTGGCTGCCATTCTAAACACTCTAACTTCACAGCTCCCTGCTTTGTCTTCCTCCTTTTTCTCAACCTCTCCCCTCTGACAGTCTTCCAGGATGTTACCACCATGGCGGCCCTCGGCTTGGGCTTCCTCAACGCCTCTTTGTGGAGACACGGCTGGAGCGGCGTGGCCTTCAACCTCTTCCTGCTGGCCCTCGGGGCACAGTGGGCGGTCCTGCTGGACGGCTTCCTGAACCAGTCCATCAGACAGAAGACCATCCTCCATCTGCCCAGGTAACGCGCACAGGATGGCTTTGACGCGCTGGGCGCAGGCCCGAGAAGGCAGTTCTAGAAGAGCGGGGACATGCCCTCTTTCAGCACCAATGCCAGGCTAGGTCAAGGCCATGCCTATTCTAAAGGATGGCTCATTGTTTACGAAAACCCAGAGAGAACGCGTCCCGCTTTGCCTGACAGCCTACACTGGCGTCACCAGGCTCCAGACCCACGGCCCCGCTTCCTTTCCTGTTTTATGATTGGCCACGATTTTGGCAGGTTACGGGATCAATATAGGCTCAGAGAAAATGTAAGAAAAAGAGATTTCACAAAGTGAGACAGAAATGTCACACCCAGAGAGACAGCCTTTTGACAGAAAGGACTCTCGGTTGTCGAATGCTGGGAGCCGGGAGATGGCCGTGCGGTCACTGTCTTTAAGTCAGCTTCGGCCCATTTTAGTCAGCTCTCTAGCCCAGCAGTAAAGGAACCAGGTTCTACAGGACCGACCACAGCTCGAATCCCGGCCCTGGTGACTTGAAAAACATGCCAGGCACACATATGTATGCCTTTTTTAAAAAGGCATTAGCGGGGGACCAGTAGATGGCGTAATGGTTATGACTCCCACGTAGTCCGCAGTGGTTAGAGTCCCGGACCCGGTGGCTTAAAACTCACACCAGACACATGTGCATGAGTGCTCACCCAAAATCCTGAGACGAGACTGGAGGAGAAGGGATTGCGGCATGGCCATCCCCCCAGGGGCTGATTTTTCACGTTCTGTCTCTGTCTTTCTCTCAGGGGAGTGCACATGTCCTATAGCAAAAATATCTCTCTCTTAAAAAAAAAAAAGGCATTAGTGGGACCAGCAGATGGCGTAATGGTTACGTCTTTGGACTCTCATGTAGTCAATTGCGGTTCAAGTCCTAGACCCGGCAGCTTAAAATTCCCTGCAGGAAAAAGGCCTGACCGTACCCCATTGAAGGGTGCTTTCTCTCGTCCTCTCTTTGTCTCTTTATCTCTTCTGAGTGCACATACTTTCTGGCATTAATGCAAATAGGTTAACTTTGATCCACTTAGAGATGGATTTATATAAAACACTAAGAACTAGCAAAACTAAACCATAGAGCTAGAAGTCAGAATAGTGGGGCCCTGGCCAGGAGGTGGATCCTGACCAGGAATAACCTACACAATAACAAGTAACCCACAGGGTGTGGCTAAATGTAGCTCATCTGGGTGAGGGTCATGTAAGGGTCTCCGTATGAGGGGGCTTCAGACAGTTCAGGGAAGAACGGGATTAATGCATGCCGTGTGGCACGAGCAATTTGAAGTCTCTACATAGTTTCCTCATAATGTGCATTTCCCCCATAAACTTTAAAGACTCCTTTTTTTGCTATAGAGCACGTGTGCTCACTGGAAGCAGACAGAGACAGAGGGGGGGAAGGTGAGAAAGCACCCCTCGGCGAGATGGCCACGCCATAATCCCTTCTCCTCCATTTTCCTCTTGGGATTTGGGCATGCATGCACATGCATTGGGGGTATTTTTCAAGACTCGGTCTGAGCGCAAACCACACAGTAGATCACGTGGGGTACAGCCACCTTACCTTCCACACCATGAAGACCCCTCTTGTATAAACGGATATGTCGTTTAGCTATACACTTTTTGAAAAAGGCATTAGTGGGAAGAGCAGATGGAGTAATGCTTACATCGCCGGACTCCCACGTAGTCAACCGTGATTCAAGTCCTGGACCCGGCAGCTTGAAACTTACACAGGGTGCGTGTGTGTGTGTGTGCGCCCAAAATTCTGAGAGGAGAATGGAGGAGAAAGGATTGCGGCATGGCCATCCCCCCTGGGGGGTGATTTTCACTTTCTGTCTCTCTGTCTCTCCAGCGAATGCCAAACTTCTTAAAAAAAAAAAAAAGGCATTAGCATTTGATAGCAGGAGCAAGGTTAAATTTTTCCTGAAAAATTGCTTTCTACTTGGTCCAGCTCTGGAGCTCTGTGCTGCTCAGATGGCAGTAAATCCCATCTGAGGCATTGTGGGCACCTCCCCGCCAGCCTCCCCTCAGACCCCGCACCTCCGGGCACTGCTGTGGTATCTGAGCCAGGCACTCTGCCGGGCACTTTGCAAATGCGATGTTGGATAACCCTGCCAGGTCAGGGTCTAGCCTGATAGGCAGGTGAGAAATGCTTAGTGATTACAGCAGTTGAGGCTCAGGGAGAGAGAGGCACTTGCCTAGCGTCGCACTGCTGCGTGGTGGAGACGGCTCCTGCTCTTAAAGCTGCTACCCTTCTCAGCCGCGCGGCCACGACAGGAAATGCGGTCTAGCCAGCGCCCTGTTGGCGTCGGGTGGGCACAAATCACTCTTGACACTTTCCTTCGCCTTTTCTGTTTTTTAATTTTTCCAGAGGGTGCACGTACTTCATGTACTTGCCAGAGACAGACAGACAGCGCGAGGTGCAGAAGCATTCCTCATGGGGCACGGACAGGCCGCAATCCCTCCTCCTCCGTCTCTCTGTCCTCTCAGGATTCTGGGCACACAGCTGGTGTGTTTCTCAAGCCACCAAGACTTGAACTGCACGGTCAGCCATGTGGGGTCCAGCTGCCGTAACCGCTACGCCATCGGCTGGCCCACTTTTCCTTTTAAAAGGTGTTAGAGCTAATCCCCACAGGGGTTACCTTGACCCACGTTAGCAGAGAGAACATCTTACTACACTTTGTGTGGTTAGAGCCCCAGTGCCCTCTGGGAAGTGACAAGGGCACGCTAGGGGACTTCTGGCAGCATGGGCTCTGGGTGGGTGCACCCACTGCCCTGACGCAGGCCACACCAGTCTGCAGCCTCTGCGGCTTAGCAGGCTGCGACAGGGGAACCTCAGGGCTGCTCCCTGCTCCTGCGTCCACACGGACCTGCTCGTTCCGGCTTAATCTGGGACAAGACGGACCACTTGCAGCCTCAGTGGACTCCCCTGCCCCACCCCTGGGCCCTTAGGCCCTCCTAGCTGTGCCCTCTGCTGGAACCGGCTTTGGAGATTTGAGCAACGGGCTCCTTCCTGACCGGTTCTGGGCTGGGGGCTGAGGCTGTGCCCAGCATGCTTTCTCCCTGTCCCTGTCTCTGTCTGTCTGGTGAGTGCCTATATCCTCTGGCACTTTTTTAAGTCCCCTTATTGCACTTGGCACGTATCAACTCACGGCACCCTCACGGCACCTCCCAAGGCACTGCCTCCACCTTACAGTTGGAAACAGGGAGTCCCAGAGGGGTTAAGTAATTTGCCAAAATCACACAGCCAGGAAGTGGCAGGGTCGGGATTCCAGCTCTGGCAGCTGAGCATGAAGCTCCTAACCCCTGCGCTCTCTGTCCCCACCCCACCCAGCACCACTGGCTCCTGAGGACCGAAATGCCGCTGGGACCATGTGCTCTTGAATTAAACCTGTACTCCATGAGATAGCCTTCACTGCAAGGCGGAACCTTCCAGGCACCATGAAATACAGAGTGCCTCGTTCTCGTCCTCCCCGTCCCTGCGAGACTCCTTCCCATGCCCTCTGCCCTGCTCTGAAACGCCGCCCCCCTGCCCCCCCGAGTGTGAGCCTTGAGCAGCGAACAGCGGCGAAGCCGGGTCTGCCCTGCCTGCAGGGGCTGTGGGGCCAGGCCAGCTGGGCTTGACCCTCACGTCCTCGGCCAGCTAACTGTGTGGCTGTTGCCAAATAGCGTCCTTTCTCCTAGTTTCTGTGTCCTCTCCTGTGAAATGAGGGTCCTGCCCTGCAACCTAGCCCGGTTTTACGCAGGTCACGCAGGACTGAATCTAGAGAAGTGGCCCAGGGCGGGGTTGCGACCTGTGGAACAAGCAGCGTCCACAGGGCAGCCCGGGTTTGGCGTCCCGACCGCCCTCCACAGGCTGAGCACTGCGGCTCGCACATACAGTCCTAGCTAAACGCGAGGCTACGGCAGGAAGGAGCGCACCTAGTGGGACCCTCCAAAATCTCTCTCACACAAAATAAAAAGTAAATAATGAGGCCATGCAGTTCCAAGCCTGTCGTAAGCCGTGCTCAATTATCACAGCAGTTCCCCTTAGCCATAGGGTCCCCATCTACGATTTCAGTTACCTGTGGTTGACTGGAGCCGAAGATATTAAATGGAGGACCAGCAGGTGGCAGAATGGTTACGTCGCTGGACTCCCACTTAGTCCCGCGGTTCCAGTCCCAGACCCGGTGGCTTCAAACTTACGCCGGGAGCATTTGCATGTGTGTGCGTGTCCAAAATCCTGAGAGGAGAAAAGGAGAAGGGATTGCGGTGTGGCCATCCACCCTGGGGATCTCTCACTGTCTCTCTGTCTTTCTCTGTCTCCCTGGTGAGCACACACACCCTACAGCCCCCCGAAAAAATTTAAGTGGAAATCTACAGACATAAACAAGTTATATTTTTTCTTTTAAGGTTTTTGCCACAGGGTGTGTGTGTTCGCTAGAGTGAGACAGAGAGAGACAGTGAGGGAAAGGAAGCGAGAGACCTCTGGCCAGATGGCCACGCTGCAATCCCTTCTCCTCTGTTCTTTTCCTGGGCTATTGGGCACATACACGTGTTCAGTGTGATTTTCAAGCTGCCAGGTCTGGGACTAGAACCATGGTCGGCCGTGTGGGAATTCAGCGCCTTAAGCACCACAAGGTATAAGTTTTGCATTCTGTGCCACTCTAGGGGTCTGAGGAAAGCTCATGTCACCGGGTCTGCCTGGGTCTGTTCTGCTCCAGGCGGGAACCGTCCCTGGGTCCGCCACGTGTGCGCTGTGTGAGCCTCTGCCCCTAGCCACCCAGCCACTGTGTCGGTCATGGGACGGCCGGAGCAGCTGTGCAGCACTCTGTGCTCACCACGCTTGCGTTACTTACCGGGACTCCAAAGCGCCAGAGCAGCGACCCTGGCCCACTGTCGGAATGGCCCATTGTATTATTAGTTACTGTTATTCGTCTCCCAACTTATTAATTAAACTTTACTATAGGTACACGTGTGTGGGAAAACGGTCCGTATAAGGGTTCATACCACCCGCAGGTTCCGGCATCCCCGAGTCTTGGAATGTGTCCCCAGGGGTAAGGGAGGCTATCGTAGTATCATTGTTGTGATGGTGACATCAGCATCGTCAACGCCCAGGGAAGGGGTCCAGAGCAAGATGATCAGGGGAGAGTGCATTGTCCAGCTCCAGCTCAGTGGACAGAGTGCTGAGAGTCCTCCTCCAGGAAGCCTTCCCTGATAAGTCCAGGCTGCATCACTCTCCCCTCTGATAGACCCCGCCTATGGTATCACAGGCCCTCTTAGTGGGTGGGCTCTTGGTATCAGCCTGTCTCCCAGTCGGGTCGTAAGTGCCTGGAGACAGAGCGGTTATCTCCTCCTGACCCTACACTGAGCACATGCACTTTCACGCAGGAGAACTCAGTAATAGTTTTGTAATGCCAGCCTCAGGGACCAGCAGTTGGCACAATGGCTACATCGCTGGACTCCCATGTAGTTGACCGTGGTTCGAGTCCCGGACCCGGTGACTTAAACTCACGCCGGACACGTGTGTGTGCGTGCCCAAGATCTCGAGAGGAGAATGGAGAAGGGACTGCAGCGTGGCCATCCCCCCAGGGGAGGATTTCTCACTCTCTGTCTCTCTCTGTCTGGCGAGTGCACGCGCCCTATAGCAAAATCCTCTCCAAAGAAAATAAAATAACAATTAAAAACAACAGTGCAGCCTGTGTTGGTCTCTGTGCCAGTCTCCGTTCTAGATGCACACACATCAAGACCATCCCTTCTCCTGCCCCTGCACTACCGTGAGGTAAGAACTGTCATCACACTTAGAGACGGAGGGCAGGTTCAAGGGGATTAAACAGCCCCAGGCAGCTCAGCTGGGACCAGAAGCCAACTTGTCCTGTTCCTAGTCCGGGCTCTTGAGCTGCCCTGGAGAGGGAGACGTGGCCCCAGACCAGGGTGGCAGGGGACTGAAGGGTGGTTGGCTCACGAGTGAAGAGCGCCCTCTATCGAGCATCCGTGAGCGCTATCCGCGGAAAAGGAGGCCCCTTGAATTCTGGTTGTCAGGCCCCGGAAGGGGCCCTGCAGGAGCCTCCTGAACTCACCCTGACATTCGTATGCGAACCCCGGGCACCCCCAGCACGGACGAGTGTGTGTGGATCGGTCTGATCGGGTAATGCCTCCCTTTTGGGGGAGGGCTGAAGGGGACCCCAGGCTCTGTGGCCTCGGCCGCCGTGGGTGGGAATCCTGTCTTCTTCTCCACCCTCTCTGTGCTTGGACAGTGCCGGAGAGAGTGGGCGCCCAGCGTTTGCTGAGCGAGGGAGCGAGGGACTGAGAGGCGTCTTCCTTCTTCTCTCCCCCAGAATCCAGAAGGCCACCGTGAGCGCCCTGTCAGTGCTGATCTCGGCGGGGGCTGTCCTGGGGAAGGCCAACTTGGTGCAGCTGGTGTTGATGGCGCTGGTGGAGGTGACGGCCTTCAGCACCATGAGGATGCTCGGCCTGACAGTCCTCGGGGTGAGTCACGTCCTCGGTCCTCAGAGAAGGGGGGCCAGAAGGGGCACTCCCTGTCATTGGCTGGGGTGAGGGGGCTCTGGGATTGTACAAACAGGACTATAAAAGTGTGGTCAATACCGAGGGTTTAAGCAGCCAACACATGCCTTTAACTTCCAAAGTATGATCCCCCTGGATTTTGCTATTCACAGGATAATTATGGGATGTATAAAAAGAGAATGAATCAATTGCCCCACTGGCAGTCACGGTTTGGGGCAATCCCGTCCCCTTGTTCAACGTCTTCCTGCTTTTTATTTTTTTTTTTTAAAAAGAATTATTTATTTAATTTAATTTATTATTATTGTTGTTGTTGCTGCTAAAATTTACTATAGGGCATACGTGCTCCCCTGAGAGACAGAGAGGGAGTCCAGCGCCACCTGCTGGCCCGTAATGTCTTCTTTACAACCAGTCATGGGCGTTCATACCACGAGGATACATACTGTGAAAAACTATGCATCTATTTCTTGTTGGTTTTTTTTTCCACCAAAATAAACTTATACTTTTGTTTTAATTGCCAAAGAATGTGTACGCTTGCCAGAGAAAGGCAGAGAGAAGGAGAGATGGAGAAAGCACCCTCAGATAGGGTGTGGTCCCATCGCAGTTTTTCTTCCACTCTTCATTCTGTCGAGATTTGGGACACACACACACCCTGTGTTTTTGTTTTTAGAGAGATTTCTTCTACAGGGTATGTGCGCTCACCAGACAGTAAGCAAAAAATCACCTCCCTAACCCAGGGGGATGGCCACGCCACAATCCCTTCTCCTCTAGGGATTTTGGACACACATGAACACAAACACTCTCAGCGTGAGTTTGAGGCCACCAGAGCTGGGACTCGAACCACGGTCAACCATGTGAGAGTCCAGTGACATAACCGTCACTCCATCTGCTGGTCCCCCCTGTGTGTTTTTTAAGCTTCAGGGGCAGGATTTGAATTTGGGTCGGCCATGTGAATTCCAGCTCCCAGTAAAATTGTACTTTAATTCTGTTCACCCACAACCTTTCTGAAGACCCCCCTCCTGTGTGATCACATTGCAAAAGATCGTCTCGGTTTGGAGCCGGCTGTGACGCGTGGTCAGTCCAGCGGCGCCCTCTCCTTTGCCACGACTCGGACACTCGGTGATGACTCGCTGCCACGGACCATCTCGTGGACCAGAGAGGGGACAGGACTGCCCCAAACCTGAGACAGGGAGAGGGAACGCAGTGACAGGGTGTGTGGGAGAAAGAAGGCTGCTGTGGTGTCAGAGACCGGGGCTGCGTCTGCTCCGCCCGTGTAGCCCCGTGGCCCCCAGGACTTTGCCGTCTGCATTTGAAGACATCATGCCCGCCTCCGGGCACGGTGTAGCCCCGTGGCCCCCAGGACTTCGCCGTCTGTCAGAGACCGGGGCTGCGTCTGCTCCGCCCGTGTAGCCCCGTGGCCCCCAGGACTTTGCCGTCTGCATCTGAAGACATCATGCCCACCTCAGGGTCTGGAGAGGAACTAAATTAATCAAATGAGATGCTCCATGTTCGTATGTGTGTGTGTGTGTGTGTGTGTGTGTGTGTGTGTGTGTGTGCGTGTGTACGTAGGAAGCATGGTGCTTCTTTGTCACCATATCCACAATAAGGACTTTGGACTCTACTCTCAGAAATACAGGGAGAATGGGGAGTTCTGAGCAGTGGAGAGAGATGAAGAGCTCTCTTTCCTCATTCATTCATTCATTCATTCATTCATTCACTTGCACAGCTGTGGGCTCCTGGACAGAGAAACAGCTTCATGTTCTGCCTTTTCTCTCTATTAAATAAGAAGTGATTACAATTCCTTGGTTCCAAGGAAGAAAATGTGACGGAGCTTCCTTAGGCAGAATGAGGGGGGATTTAGTTCGAGGACCACTGAGGGCAGGAGACACGGCCAGACTCAGACAGGGGCTGGGCCTTGACGCGAGGAGCCCTGCTCATCCCAGCCGACGGGTCATCGGAAAAGTCACGGCGCATTTCTGCACATAAAAAAAAAGGTCATGACCTCTCCGACAGCCTAATAGTTCACGCTTCCCCATCTTTTGGCTCCTTTCCTCACTGGACCAGTGTCTCTGTAACTACCTCCTCTTCACTGAAAAGTATGTCTTGCGTTTCTGCTTCCCAGATCCTGCAGAAAACCCTCTTTCCTCGCATTTAGCCTCAATTCTACCATCCAGGGAGAGGGAATCCAGTTAGTCCACTGAGCCATTTAACTGGTCCAGCCAGCTGTGACTGGCACACAGAACAATATGGCTGTCAGAGAGAGGGGTGGGGGGCCAGCAGATGGCACGGTGGTTAAGGCCCCCGACTCTCTCATGGCTGATCACAGTTCGAGTCCCAGACATAGAGGCTCGCTTTCTCACTTTCCCTCTCTCTCTGGTGAGCACACAAACCCCATAGCAAATTAAAATAATAGTAAATAAAATTAAAATAAATACTTTTTTTTTAAAGAGTGGATTCCTAGAGATGGAGCACGCACTGTGAGTAGGGTATTATAAGCCTTTCTCACTTGCTTTTGTTTATATTTTGTCCAAGAGTGTGTGAGGTCGCCAGAGGCAGAAGACGGGGGAGAAGGAAGTAGCATCCCCACAAAGTGCGGTCGGGCCGCAATCCCTCTCCTCCATTTCTTTCCCCTTGTGGGGTCTTGGACACACACGCACACACACACACACACACACACACGTGTGCCCAGAGTGATTTCAAGTCACAGGGTTCAGGACTTGAATCGCAGCGTCAGCCATGTGGATCAGGCTGCCTTCACCACCATGCCGTGGATTGGCCCGGCCTTCCCTATCTTTTTTTTTTTTTTTGAGAGGTTTTTGCTATAGGGCGCGTGCACTCGCCAGACAGACAGAGAGAGACAGAGAGACAGAAAGCGGGAAATCACCCCCCAGGGGGGATGACCACACCACAATCCCTTCTCCTCCATTCTCCTCTCGGGATCTTGGGCACGCACACACACGCGCCCGGCATGAGTTTTAAGCCACCAGGTCCGGGACACGAACCGCGGTCAACTACGTGGGAGTCCAGTGACATAGCCATTACGCCAACTGCTGGTTCCCAGCCTTTCCTATCTTGATATAGTCTTCGTAACAGCTTTTTTTTTTTTCCCATTTTTAAAAAAATTTACATTCCATTGCAGAAAGAAAGCATCCCCAGTGGGGCATGGTCAAGCCACGATCCTTTTTTCCTCCATTTCTCCATCCTGTCAGGATTTGGCAGCACACGCACACGCACACAAACCCAGCATGTTCCCCAAGCTTCCAGGGCTGGGATTTGAGGCACAGGCAGCCGTGTGGGATCTGATTGCACATGCACTGCACTTAGACAGCGAGCTCCCGACTGGCCCAGCCGGCGCTGAAAGACTGCGTTAACTTAGAGCCGTCTCCTCTCCTCTGCAGCTTTGATTTGCTAGTCGAATGTTCTAGCAGGGCTTAGCACTGATGTTGCGAGTTTACTGCTCTCAAGCAGTCTGCTCAGAGGGAGGGCTCAGGGAACCAGAGCCCGGAACCAGAGCCTTTTCCATGCAGGCAACTTAAAAAATGAGGGCTCTTCCTACTTGTAAAGGCTTTCGCCTTAGAGCACATGCGCCAGCCAGAGACAGAGACAGAGAGAGGGAAAGCGACAAGTCACCCCGAGGGGGGATGGCTACGCCACAATCCCTTCTCCTCCATTCTCCTCCTGGGATCTTGGGCACGCACGCACACATGCCCGGTGTGTTTCAAGCCACCGGGTCTGGGACTCGAACCGTAGTCAACCATGTGGGAGTCCAGCAACATTACTGCTACACCATCTGCTGGCTCCCAAGAAATGAGTGCTCTAGCCAGTGACCCCCAAGTGTGCTTTCTTGATGCCCGGTAGAGACAAAGAGGAAAAACTGCGGGCCCTCGTCTTTAGACACGACAGAGGGCTGCTCCTCGCCCGCGCGCTCACTTCTCGGATACTCGGTACCCGTTATGCACCGGGCCCTCTCGTGGCAGTGGAAAACACACCTATCGTGGAGCTTCCATTCCAGAAGGAAAGCTGCCGATAAACAATAAACCAGGTGAAAGATTTGGTGTGTTATAGTGAACGGTGCGAGGGGAAAACAGACGGAGAAAGGAGATCGGAGTCGCTGGAGGTGAGACGTTCGCGAGCGTAGCCAGAGGCGGCTTCGCCCTGTGAGCCACTGCCGAGGACAGACATGGAGGAGGCAAGGTCACCAGCCACCGGGGTACCTGAGGACAGCGGCAGGCCCGCGGGGCGGAGGGAGCGGTCCACGTCTGCTGAGGGCTCTCGATCGCCAGTGCCCGTTAGGGTGGTTGGCCTGTGCTAAGGGTAAGACGCAGAGAGCTGGGCCGGCAAGTGGTGTTGCAGAGAGGCGCCGAGTGACCACCAGAGCCAGGTCAAGGTTAAAGGGACTCTTTATGAGCTGCCCACGACTACAGCCTGAGGCTCGGGGGGAGGGGGCCGAGAGTCAGAACTGCAGCCCAGACTGAAGCTGGAGTAGTCTTTTATAGGGGTCTGTTACCGGGGTTTCTCTGCAAGCAGTTCCAGAAGCTGAATCAAGCAGGTTAATTACTTCTGAGGGGAGTGGGGTTTCCATGCAAGCAGTTCCATTGCTAAACACAAGGGTTTGGGGCTAGTTAGCCAAGACAGGAGCAGGTACAGGATGGCGTCCCGGATCCGGTTTTCTGTGTGGCTAGCACAAGCTATTCTCTCATGGGAAGAGCAAGCAGGTTTACAGAAGCAGACAGCCATGCTAGGGGAAGGGAACAAAATGGACAAATAATTGTTCATGTGCAAGATCTGATACACAGCCTTCCACAGTGGCATGGTGGTTACACACTGGACTCCCACATGGCTGACCATGGTTCAAGTTCCAGACGCATGTCCAAAATCCCAAGAGGAGAATGGAGGAGAAGGGACTGTGGCGTGGCCATCCCCCTGAGGGGTGCTTTCTCACTTTCGCTCTCTCTGTCTCTCTTCAAGACTTCACACACCATATGAGGGGGGAAAAAAAAGCAGAGATTTTATTTTTGAGAGGTTTTTGCTATAGGGCGCATGCGTTTGTCAGAAAGACAGAGAGAGACAGAGAGACAGAGAGCGAGAAATCACCCCCCGGGAGGATGGCCATGCCACAGTCCCTTCTCTTCCTTTCTCCTCTTGGGATTTTGGGCACGCATGCACATGCGCCCGGCGTGAGTTTAAGCCACCGGGTCCGGGACTCGAACCGCGATTGACCACATGGGAGTCCAGCGACATAGCCATTACGCCTACTGCTAGTCCCAAAAGCAGAGACTTTTAATTGACTCTTGAAATTCTCTGCAGACCATGCGACCCCTACTGCTTGTAGCCAGGGTGGGCCACTCACACCACCCTTCTGGGGCAAGAGAATTCCAGGGAGCTGGAAGACCGGAGGCGGGAACACACTGGCGGGTGGGGAGGAGGACGGAGGCAGCAGTGGAGAGGAGCAGTGGTCAGGGTGAGTCCTGCAGGTCACAGCAGTGAGGTGGCACCACGTGGCTTCTGAGCAGAGAAGTGACACGATCTGACTCACATTCTAATGGGGTGACTGCCTGCTGCGTGGAGAGTAATCAGTGGGGGACAAGCCTGGGAATGGCGACACCAGCCGGGGTTATTGCAGTATTGCGGGGCAATGGTGATGGCATTGGTGACGGTGGGGACAGAGCAGTGGTGCCAAAACCCAACCCCCCTGGGCGGTTTTGGAATGCACAGCTGACAGCACTCACCGGTAGTCCACGAGCGAGTTACTGAGGAGTACTGCGTTTCATATCCGTGAGGCAGAAGTAGCTGCTATCTAGGGTTTTCTAAAGACTTGAGTTTGGTATTATAAGAAGTCTCTCTGCTTCATATTGCAAAGTTTATATCACTCATCACTCCACAAAGAATTGAAATTCCAGGGACCAGCAGTTGGTGTAATGGCTACGTCTCTGGACTCCCATGTAGTCAACCGCGGTTCGAGTCCCAGACCCGGGGGCTTAAACTTACACCAGGCGCGTGTGCGTGCGTGCCTGAGATCCCGAGAGGAGAATGGAGGAGAAGGGATCGCGGCGTGGCCATCACCCCTGGGGGGTGATTTCTTGCTTCCTGTCTCTCTGTCTCTGTCTTTCTGGCGAGTGCACGTGCCCTCTAGAAAAAAAAAAATTCCACTGAAAATTAAGAGGCTGTGAGAGTGTGTCATATGACTTTTTGTCCCATCTAAGTGGACCTGGGCCAAAAGTGTTTAAAAGCTACTGATGGGGGTAGGGCTGGCAGGTGGCGTGATGGTTAAGGATGCTGGACTCCCACATGGTTGACCACAGTTTGAGTCCTGGACCTGGCAGCTTGCTCTCTCACTTTCCCTCTTTCTCCCTCTCTCACTGTCTCTCTGGTCAAATTTAAAAATAAATAGATAGATAGATAGATAGATAGATAGATAGATAGATAGATAGATAGATAATAGATGATAGATAGATAGATAGATAAAGTTAAATAAAATAATTCTTTTTTTAAAAAAAGCTAGCGATAGGGCTGATAGCACAGAAGTTAAGTTCTGTGCAGAGGAAGCCAGATTCCCATGGCCGGCCAGGGTTTGAATCCCAGCCCCAGCAGACAGAGCTATACACCAGCCATACAATGTGTTCCCGGAGTCCTGACAGGATAGAGTTGAAGAGAAAGGCTCGCAGCATGACCAGACCCTGTTGAGGACTGCTTTCTCTCCCTCTCGCGCTCTCTCTCTCTTGCACACATACATGTGTAAGTGCACACACCCAGGCATGATAAAGGGAAAAAATAAATAGGGCCAGCTGGTGGCATGGTGGTTACAGTGCTGGATCCCCACATGGGTGACTGGCCAGTTTGCGTCCCGAACACAGTGGGTTAAAAATCAAATCTTAAAACTTAAAACTCACGCTGGGTGCACGTGCATGCATGCCCAAAATCCCAAGAGGAGAATGGAGGAGAAGAAATTGAAGTGCGGCCATCCCCTCTCGGAGGGTGAGTTCTCTATTTCCCTCTATTTCTCCCTCTGTCCCTTATCAATGAGTGCATGCGCCCTATAGCAAATTTTAAAAATTAATTAATTAAAAAACCAAAGAGCTATCGGTAATGTCAATCGGTGACCTCCCTGGAATGAACATGCGGTGCCTTCTCGGGCTCTCGGCAGCGGGGCCACCTGCTGAGCTGGGCTGCTAAGCCTGGCCGGTCTTGTGCCGTCCCAAAGCTCAGAAGCTTCTCTGTGCGCAGGCCTGGCTGCAGGCACGGGGCCGACCGTGACCCTGCGGGTTCTGTTGCAGGTGGATGACCACAGCAGCATGATGAGCATCCACGTGTTTGCAGCCTACTTCGGGCTGGCTGTGTCCTGGTGCCTCTCCCGGCCCCTGCCCAAGGCAGCGGAGGAGAAAGAGCAGACAGCGACTAGCCCCAGTTTGTTTGCCATGCTGGGTAAGCACGCGGTGGGGCAGGCGGTCTCATCCCAGGGCTGAGCTAGGGGCTCAGGAAAAAACGCTGAAAATCTCTGTCCTTTACCAGCTTAGCCCGGGACCAAGGCTCTCCCATAAAGACTTGTTCCTCCGAGCAGTGCTGTCGAATTCACGGTCCCATCTAGGGACCACTCTCTGTCACCACCCACTGCGGGGAAAGACCATGACGTTTGTGTTTAAGTTCGTCTACCCGATCTTTCCTTCTTCAACCCGAAGGACGGATTGGACATGTTTAGAAAGGAAGGTCTGAGCGAGAACGAACAGGGGTGGCAGGAGAACAGTCGTCACATTGTTTAAAAAGCTGCCGGGAAAGGGACGACCTCAGAAGTCGTCGGTCAGCGAGCCTGATGGAGGTGAATGACTGTCAGGCCATGGGGCCATATTAAAGTGACACAGGAGGTTTTTTTGGAACAAGCTTTGGCCACCACAGGCCAGGGTCGGGAGGCCTGAGGTCTGTGGACTTCAGCTCCCTGGGTCCGAGTTTCCGTGACCGTCAGATATGCTAGCTGATACCCTCCCACTCGGGGACTCGGAGGGGCCGTGACGAGCCTGAGTTGCACAGCTAGCAGGTGGCCTTGCAGGGACACTCCCATCTAAGTACCCCCACCCACCCAGAGGCTCCGGAGCAAGAATGTGGTTTGGGCCAATGACCGTCTCTGGCCCCCAGGCACGCGCTTCCTGTGGATGTTCTGGCCGAGTTTCAACGGGATGCTGTTCGTTCAGGTGGAGAGGATGAAAGCCGTGTCCAACACCTACTACGCCCTCGCGGTCAGCACGGTGACAGCCACCTCCGTGTCAGCCTTGGCTCATCCCCAAGGAAAGATCAACATGGTGAGGAGGGGCACCCAGGCAGCACCTGGTCCTCTGGGCCCAACACACTCTCCCACACCCTCCACCCGGAGTCCCCCAGGGGAAGGACTTGTCCACAGGGCATGGAGTGGCAGGAGGACCACTGGGCGGTCGGAACGGGCATAGGGTTGCAGCACGCAGGCAAAGGGCCAAAGGGGCTCTGGGGGACTGATTAAGTCCGTCAGCACTGACGTCACACAGACTCACATTTAAGCCCGATTTCTGTTAGTCACGAAAGCCAGCCACCATGAGCGAGGGTCAGAGAATGGACTAGAGTAGAACTAGCCAGGCTCTTTTTTCCCCAAGAAGTTCCAGATGGAATGATCATAATTAATATGTTACTCTAGTCACGTGATCTTGGTCAAGCCACTTGAACGTCCTGAGCCTCAGCCGCCCCACCTGTAAAGTGGGATGAAGAGGCGGAGCGTGTGGCCTGCTTGATGCCGAGTACTCAGTGGCGTGTGCGAGTTTTGTGGGGGGAGGTGGGCGAGGGGACAGCCAAAGACACAGCACGTTCCCATGACGATCGGGGCTCAGCCAGCTGGAGGGCCTGGAGTGAATGACCACGGATGACAGGTTAATGGCGTCATTCCAGGGCCAAGGGGAGCTCTCCGTCACGGGGACCCAGGAGCAGACAGGGCGGGGACATCCAGAGAGGCAGGAGTGGGCATCAGGTCAGGGAAGCCCGGGAGCTGGTCCCAGGGCCCAGAGCTCTGAGGTCTGGTTAGAACTGCTGGGGTCTGATAGGGGGCGGGCCAGGCTCTGGTTCTAGGGAAATCCAGCAGAGCCGCGGCCCGAGAATAAAGCCCCGCTTATCGGAACAGGGCCGAGTCAGGCTGGCAGAGGCACCGGCCGGCCCCCGACAATCATAATGATAAGGCTTCCGTTCACTGGGCATGAATTCATGTCCTCTGCTAGACCCTGGACTAGGGGCTTCACACGTGGGAACTCACTAAGCCGTCAGCGGGCCACCGTGTGAAAAAGGCGTTCTCCCGCGGGCCCCGGACCCTCAGCTGACTCCCTAAGTGCCATCAGTGTGCTCCAGCCTGAGAGGTGCGAGTGAGACCGACCCACGGAAACAGGCCACGCGGTCCCGGTGAGGGGGAGGGTGGCCTTGCATCCAGCTTGCTGAGGAACCCTGGGTGAGGTGGTGAGCTCTCCGTGCCTGCGTCACTGACCCGCCCGCTACTTCCTGCAGACTCATATCCACAACGCGGTGCTGGCTGGAGGCGTGGCTGTGGGCGCCACGTGTCACATGATCCACTCTCCGTGGTTCTCCATGGCGCTGGGCCTCGTGGCCGCCTTGATCTCCATCGGAGGAGCCAAGTGCCTGCCGGTAAGGACAGGACAGCAGACACCCTCTCCGTGGCTGAGACCAGCAGGCCCGTGGGGCCCTGGTGAGCCACCGTGTGGTGTCCTGGGCTGCGTGGGCAGGTGCTGGCGCTCCCTTAGGCTGGCTTCCAAACCTGAGGGAGGAACACATGCCAGCTGGGTGGGTCACTGGCTAGGATGCCAGGAAGCAAGTGACGGAACCCACGCAGGCGTGCTCAGGCAGAAGGGGCATTTGTCACAAGGCTACTGGGGTGTCCTAGGACCCAAAGGCCGCGATGCTGCTGGGACCCCGGAGTGGCCGCACCAAGGACGGTGTGGGAGCCCAGGAAGTCTGCGCTCGGCTTCTCCCTTCGCTCTCCCTGAGCACCTGCTTTGGCCTCACTCCGTGCACCTGCTTCCTCTGCCACGCCACGTAGTGGAATGTCGTCTTCTGCTTCAAAAAGCAGCCAGGCGACTCAGTCGGCCCCGAATCCAAACTCTGGTTTACTTTGGCTTATTTGTCACCTTTGGCTGGAGGGGCAGGGCACGTCCCACGTACGTGGATGCTGCTGGTGACCCTGTGGATGGAGCGGGTGGAGGGGTACCTGGAGGAGGTGCTGCGCTGTCGATCCAGGCCTGTCTACCCCCAGCTGCTTCGCTCTCTCCTAAGTGGGCGCGTTTCCCTTTAGTACCTACTCCACAAGTGCTGACCGCACCGCAAACTCCACCACACCCAGTTGCCTCTAAGAGAACTATTAAGGGGCAACAAGACTCAATGGCTTGTGGAAGAAGGAGTAGACCCCTTTTTATGGTTTGTGCCATCGGGTGCATGTGCTCACCAGAGAGGAGAGAGAGAAAGTGAGAACCACCCGCTGGCGGGGGGGCCACCCCACAATCCCTTCTCCATTTGCCTCTCCAGATTTGGGGCACGCAGGCACATGTACCCAGCGTGATTTTCAAGCCACCAGGCCTGGGACTCAAACCATGGTCAGCCATATGGGAAGCTAGCCACCTTAACCACCATGCCACCTGCTGGCCCTAGGAGTAGACTTTTGAAGGCTAATTTGGATGAACGGCAGAGACCCACGTAGTCAGTTTCGACCCCAGAGAAGACTGTACCAAGGATTCTATCTGAGCACAGATGGGGCCGTGTGCATCCCGTCTTTGCAGTGGGGACGAAGGTCTTGTCTCCTCTGGCTTTGAAGCCCTGAGACGAAGGGAGCAAGGAACGCATTTGTTATGGGCAGTTCTCGGGTTCAGTGTCCACTGCTCTCTGAGCCTCGTTCCTTAGCTCAGCCCCGGGGACGTCGTGGCACTCACGCACCCCTTCGCTCGCGCGTGCAGACTCGCTGTATCTTACCCTCACCCTCGGCTATGGTTTAGTTTGGGCTACGGATACAAGCAGAGTGGTGACGCCACAGCGCACAGCTAAGCTGGCCTGGGCGGGCCAGGAAGTGCTTCCCCGAGCAGAGGACTCAGCTGCTCCGGCTACACTACATTAGCCAGGAGAGAGGCGGGAGGGCGTCCCCAGGCAGCAGCAGCATGGCGAGAGCTCTGTGACAGCGGAGCGTGCGGTTCAACAGCAGCGGGAAGACGTCCTACTGCTGAAGCACAGGGCGGCCTGGGAGAGTCGGGCCAGAGCCTTGATGAACAGACGGCGCTCGGGCACTTCTCCTAGGCTAGCTGAGGCGCTTTTTTTGTTTTTTAAAGTTCATTTATTTCAAATAAAATTAAACAAATAATTAGAATTAAAGTATAATTCTTTTTTACAAAGTTTATTTCATGAGGGAGAGATGGGGGTAGAGACGGAGGCAAGCACCCTCAATGGGTCCCATGCCCATGACCCCGTCGGCTTTGCCAGCCAGTCGGGACCAGGGAGCACAGCCCCAGCAAACACAAGGCCATCGGGGAACCGAGCCCACGCCCTTCCATGTGGCTTTGCGCATTGACGCTGTGCCACCAAGCCAGCCTGGGACTTCTGTTTTGAAGACAATGGGGACCCCAGGAGGGAACTAACCTGATCAAATTCGTACTTGCACCTGTGTCTGCTGGCTCTGGTGGCTGATGCGGAAGGAGCAGGCATGGGAATCTGGAGGGTGGTCAGGATTTTATCTGACTTTTCTCCGGATCGGCCAGGTTGTCTGTGGGACACTTACACTAGGGCGAGACCAGGGAGTCTCTACTGCCCACAGGGACCATCGGCAACACCTGGAGACCGTGGTGGCACTGGCGCAGGTGCCTCTGGTATCCCGAGAGCTGAAGCTGGGCGTTCCCGCGGTGCAGCGAGTAGTGCCCGCCCCGGCGGAACTCTAGCCGACCTGGAATGAGTGGTGCCCTGGCGTGTGCCACGGCCTCATTAGAGAGGCAGGACCGCAGGCTGGAGGCCCCACGCCGCGCCCGCCAAGCCCAGCTGTGCAGTTAACAAGCCCCCAGGTGATGCGTGTGCACACTGAGGCTGGAGAAGCGCGTCTTTGCGTGGCCCGCCCCTTCGGGGGCCCTGGGTGCCCAGACCCGTGGAAAAGGTGGCAGGCACTGTGGGTCTTGCTGCAGTCTGCTCAGCCTGGCGTGTGTTCCCAGGTGTGTCTCAATCGCGTGCTGGGCATCCACGACAGCTGCGGCGTGCACTACACCTTCGGCCTGCCGGGCCTGCTCGGAGGGGTCGCGTACATCGTGCTGATGGTGACCCACAGCATCTGGAGTGGGAAGAACAGGTGAGTCTCCTGGCTCCCCACCCACACCCCATCCCACAGAGGGGAAAGGTGCCAGCGCTCAGCTGGGGCGCACGAGTTCAGGCTAGGCCCTCAGAGAATAGCCATTCCCAGCCCCTACCTGGCATGGAGTCACCGCCCCTG